AATTGAATCTTCGGTAGAGGAGATGGCTTGAATTCCTAAAGGATTATGATATGAGTGTGCATTATCATCTCGGTAAGGCGAATGTAGTAACATATGCCCTTAGCAGATTATCTATGGGTAGTGTAGCCCATGTTGAGGAATAAAGAAAAGAGTTAGTAAAGGATGTTCACAAGCTTGCTCGCTTTGGAGTTCGCCTTATAAGCATATCAGACAATGGTGTAACATCTCAAAATGGGGCAGAATCGTCTTTGGTAGTGGAGGTTAAGAAAAAGCAAGACAGTGATCCAATCTTGCTTGAACTTAAGGGTGCAGTCCATAATCAAATAGTAGAGTTTTACTCCCAAAGAGGAGATTGTGTACTTCTCTACCAGGGTAGATTGTCTGTTCCTGATGTGGGCGAGTTGAGACAACATATTCTTGCAGAAGCCAATAACTCTAGGTATTCTATTCATCCAGGTGTCACTAAGATGTACCGCGATCTGCAGGAAGTCTATTGGTGGAATGACATGAAGAGGGATATAGCAGACTTTGTGAGTAAGTGCCCCAATTGCCAGCAAGTCAAGGTAGAACATCAGAAACTAGGAGGTATGACTGAAGAGATCGACATTCCTACTTGGAAGTGGGGAGTGATCAATATGGATTTCATTACAAGGTTACCGCGTACTCGCATACAACATGACTCCATTTGGGTGATAGTTGATAAAATGACTAAGTCTTTTCGCTTTTTGGCGGTCAAGACTACATATTCGACAGAGGGCTATGCCAAGCTTTACATTAATGATATTGTGATGTTACATGGGGTTCCTTTGTCTATCATCTCAGATAGAGGTCCTCGGTTTACCTCTCATTTCTGGAAGTCATTTCAGAAGGGTCTTGGTACTCAAGTTAACCTTAGTACAACATTTTATCCACAGACGGATTGGTAGGCAGAGTGTACCATTCAGACCTTAGAGGATATGTTGAAAGCTTGTGTGATCGATTTCAAAGGTAGTTGGGATGATCACCTTCCTCTTATTGAGTTCGCCTACAACAATAGCTACCATTTCAGCATTCAGATGGCCCCTCATGAGGCTTTATATGGGCGTAGACGTAGATCTCATGTTGGTTGGTTCGAAGTATGTGAATAAGCTTTGATAGGGCCAGACTCAGTCCTTTATGCTATGGAGAAAGTGCAACTCATTAGAGATAGGAGAAGGGAACTAGAGTTTCAAGTTGATGATTGGGTTTTTTTGAAAGTCTCACCTATTAAAGGGGTGATGAGATTTGGAAAGAAAGGGAAGCTCTGTCCCTTACAAGATCTTGAAAAGAGTTGGGAAGGTGGCATATGAGTTAGAGTTTCCAGCAGAATTAGCAACAGTGAAGCTGGTCTTCCACATCTCACTCTTGTAGAAGTGTGTGGGTGATTCAGCCTCTATAGTGTCATTGGAGAGTGTGGCGGTTAAAGATAGTCTTTCTTGTGAGGATGTACCAGTTGAGATTCTTGACTGTCAGGTCAGAAGGTCGAGAAACAGAGAAGTCGTTTCTGTTAAGGTTTTGTGGAGGAGTCAATCCATAGAGGGAGCTACTTAGGAAGCAGAAGCAGCCATGAAAGCCAAGTATCCTCACCTCTTTCCTTCCGATCCCACTCCAACTTGAGGTAATAGTTCTTTATCAGTTTACCAGTCACGTAAATTGAGTCTTAGAATCATGTTCCCTCAGTTCGTACTTGCATTTTCAGCGTATTTGCATGTTTTCGGAACTCAATTCAGTCAGAAACTCAGTTCTCAGTGTTTAGTAGTAGGGTTTGCAGCTCTCTCCCTATATTTCAGCTAGTTTAGTCTTCATTCGAAGACCAATGTTCCCAAGGGGGAGATAATGTAACGCCCCGTAGCCAAAAAAGACCAAAAAATAGTTTTTTAGAAAAATCTGCAGGTGCAACTAACGTGACCATCGACGAACTGTAGCCTGACCCACGATCTGTCCTGCACAACCATCGATGGGATCAAAAACTCCAAAAATTCTCAGTCTAGGAAAATTGGTTAAGTGTTGGTCGACGAACGGACTCAGGGTTCGTAGGTCAGACTACGGTCTGTAGTCCATGACCGTCGATCGAGACCCCCCTTCACACACTCTCTTACAAGAGCCACGGATGAACAACATGGTTCGTAAGTCTGACCGTAGGTGGGAATTAGCAAACAGTTAAGGGGGAAATGCAGTTGGGTCAACCTCAAATGGTCATAACTCTTAGCACAAAATAAATTAGGTGTCCCATGACCTACCCACAGATAGATAATTGAATTATCTTTCCATAACCACCAACCTTGTTAAAATCAGACCTCCGAGTAAAAAATTATGCTCGTTTTGGTAAAGGCCTGTCGAACAGGCCCAACCTACGGACCAAACGACGGACCATCGATGGAACGACGGACCGTCTTTTGAAGTCGCCGTTTGGTCAGATAGCAACTTACCCTGTTGAACAGGCCCAACCTACGGACCAAACGACGGACCATCGATGGAACGACGGACCGTCTTTTGAGGTCGTCGTTTGGTCCGATAGCAACTTACCCAGGGGTCTTTTGCTCTTTTCCCACTTTATTTAAACCTTAAGATACGTCGTTTTGACCCTAAATCATATATTTTAGTCACTTTAAGCCTAGAAGCATAACAAGAACTTACCTAAGTCAAAATCATAAATCAAAAGTTAGAAAATTTGAAGTAAGAAAGGAGAGAAAGCTCAAGAACCCTAGTTTAAGAATGCAGCAAGAATCCCTTCGTTCCAGCCTAGAAATTTGAATATTTTTCCGTGGATTTCATCACCAGGTATGTGAAATTTCACTAACGGGTTCCTTTCACCCATTGGGTCAGATTCTTGATTCTCTTATCATGATTAAACCTAGGGGTCTAAACTTTAATAGAACTTCATGAATTTATTAAATATATGTTCCAAATCAGATTGTAAAGTTATTATTCAGTTTATCGCATGAATTTCAGAACCCTAACTTTGTATTTCTGTAGTTCTTGAATTACACATTCTAGGTCAGATATTTCAGCTATTCAATTATATATGCCTCAATTTTAATGCATCATTATCACATTAAATGTTGCATTCTTAATTTGCATGTTCAGTTTTGAGTTATCCAGTATTTACCAAAATTCAATCATAATATCTTAATCACTTTAATCAATGGGAGTAGCATAATACCGAGTTGGACTAGGGTTCAGAGTACCTAATTAGTCCCAGAACTACTAACCAAGTAGGTTGTAAGTCCCCTCTCTGAGCAATCAGTTTAGTGATCACACCAGCATGCCTTTATACCTTTGGCAGGGTATATTGGGTCCTCTCGATGGGGCGTATACATCGGGCTCCACATTTAGCTCATGTGGTTTTTTTATCGGTTATTAGTAGCTCCCACAGTTCGGTCAGACTCTCTTGCATTGACCATTTATCAGTATACTCAGCATTCAGTTTCAGTATGTTATAAATTGGTCATCGCATTCAGTTATCTCTGCATTCATAATCAGCATATCATGTTTAGATTATTATACTTGCTTTTGTGCTTGTTCAGTTATGTTTTTATTTCAGCTTTATTCTATCCTACATGCTCAGTACCTTTCAAGTACTGACGCATATGTGCGCTACATCTTCTCGTGATGTGTTCAGGTTCTCAGCATCCCGATCACACATAGATTGATTTTTGATATCCAATTTCAGCAAATTCAGTGGTGAGTCCTCATTTTCCGAGGACAACAATCATGAGTGTCATTTCAGTCTTTAGTCATTTAGTTTAAGATTTTGTTAGTTGGGGCTTGTCCCAATATTTATAGTCAAGTTTAGAGGCTTATTTTAGACATAGTTTATTTCAGCTTAGTGTTGAGTTAGTAACTTTATTGTACTAAACTCATCAGTCTTCATATTATATCAGTTTTAGCATATGGATATTCCCCATCTTTTCATTATAAATTATGATTTAGATTCCACATCAGTTTATTATCTTTAGTATGATCATGATTATGCCAGCAGGGTTAGCTTGGGATCACTTGTGGTCCTAGGTTCCGTGTCCGCGCCCGGGGGTAGCTCGGGGCGTGACATAATGAGTCAATTTTAGAGTGGAAAAGTAGTTCACCAGTGCCTAAGGGTCATTTTATTTCACACCTTAACAACAAGAAAATTAGTTTCTAAGAAGTTGTAACATCTCACAACTAGAAAGAACTAGAAAAGAGTTTAAAACCCAGAAATATTTGTTTTTGGAAAGTAAAGGGAAATCTTGAAAGTTTGTCCAAGTTAGAAAAATGAGTTTTGGTCATTTTAGAACGACTATAACTCCTAGCTCAGGATGAGTTAGGAGTAGGTCCAAATATGATTGGAAATCCCTTGGAATGATCTTTCCAACGTCGCCGAGTTTGCGTGATTTCGAGTTTGGACGAGTGAGCCCCTGGAAGTTGGGCTATTGGATTAAGAAAATGTCCAATTCCGGCATTTTAAAGGGTATTTTAGTCTTTTCACTACCCTATTAATTTAATCCATTTTAGGAGCTTAATAAGGGTCAAGACTGAATTTAGTCAGTTTTAGAAGTTGGAAATTTTCACGTTAGAGCTAAGAAGAAAGGAGAAGAGAAGAGAAGAGAAGAAGAAGGGCAAGATTTGCCAAGATCATCGAATCAACTCATGGATTTCATCAGGGGTCACTATAAAAAAAAAGCCTAAATTGAGGGGGTTTATTTTACCTACTCTGGGGGGGGGGGGGGGAAGAAACCCCCACAGTTTGATGTAGCAGAGGTTTCAATGACTCGCAAAGTAGGTTTGTCACAATTAAGTTGCGGGGATTTTTTACTAACTCCTGTAACAAGTAGCAGGGGTTATTTTGTGACAGTTTGAACCCCCGAAAATTAATTCTTAGAAAACTACAATTTAAATTTCAGGAGTCACAACCTCTAATAATAATAACAAAATAGAAGGGGTCACACACCCCACAATTTGTGAAAATATAATTATCTTCCTATATTTTTGTCAGTAGTGAAACATTGCTCTAAAGCTTATTAAGACAATAATAGTTCAAACAACCATAAATTACAAGTAATGATATTACTAGCAACAACCAAAACAGTTACAAGATAAAAAGTAATATCCAACAAGTTATTGTATAAAAGGTAATATCCAGCAAGTTACCGTATTAAAAGTAATATCCTAATATTTTTCCAATCCATTTGTGTTATATAGATTTCTAGCAAATTTCCAAAAATAGAAGACTTGGACATCTAGTAAGATGCTTCTTCACTATGAGAAGTTCATTGATCAGAAGAAAATCAATTCTGTCCAGGTCAACATTCCAACATTCATATTCCTCCACTGATAACCACCCTTTACAATCTGCAAATATATTCACATTGTTTATCTCATTGGTATTGGTGCACCGAAGACATAATTAAGTAATTAATAGAATACTTTCTCTAATAGTTTACAATTTTTAGCTAATATACTAATAACTCTAAAGTGTCATGAAGATAAGAGTATGTACTAACAAGAGAGGTATTGATCATATGATTCAGTTTTCATAGAAACAATTGTGACTTTGGCTTCTTGAAACAATTAATCTTAGCAAAGATGCTCATATACTCCAACTATAAGATAAGTATGTACAGATACTTGCTAGAAAAGAAACGATTAAAGTTTAAGTATGTGAAGATTTAAAACAGAAATAAATAAGCAAAAATTAAGAAGACCTTCTATATAGTAAACGACATGTTTACGATAGCAAAAAATCAAGTCAACAAGAGTTGGTACCTCATCAAAGGGATGAGACCGTGAATGCTCCTCAAGTCTTTCTGTAATTTCCTAATTTTTACAGTAAAATATGAAGTCAGAGTAAAGAACAAATACACGCTATTCAACATCTATATCACAGTTCGATAACTACTCCAAGTGTTATGCCAATACTTCTACTATGTAGTATTATGTTATATGTACTACTTTTAAACCAACCTTCAATTTGGTTGCTACAATCTCAAAGAAATTCTACAAAGTAAAAGATCATGTAAAGGAAAATAAATGATGATGAATTCTTGCATAATCAAATATACATTAGTCAAAAAATCAATAATTTGCATCATACACTTGAGTTGTTCACCGGTCAATACATACAACTAAACTCACCTTAAGTTGTGTTACTTGATGAGGTTAAAGAACTAAATCCCTAAGATCTTCACGACCAGAAGTCTCCAAGTTGCTGGTTCAGTTCACTCTCAAATTAAAAAACTAGGGTCAAAGAAGACATTTTTTCAAACGGACTAAAAAAAAGCTAGATAAACAAATCGAAAAAAATAAAACTTTATGCACGAGATCCTCTTCAATTATTTGATAACATAGCTAATATGTGTAACCTAGTTTGAGTAAAAAAATTTGATCGTTTAGAACTTCTCTTTTCTTACAATTTCTGTTTCTTTGTTGCTTTAGTTCAAACATCTTCAAAAGATTTATGAAAGCATTAAACTGAGATATGTCAAACGAGTGTAAAATCTTGTATGACATGATCAAGGATTCTTGTAACTGAGACAAACTTATACCAACCACCCTCACACTTAACAATTTTTTGGTTCTTAAGTTGCTGAACTTTTTAAGAAGCAATTAGTTGATTGTGTTTCTCTAGACACAAATTTTAGACTTACCAACACAAAACACCAGCTTGCATGTTAACAAGTTGCTACACAATTCACTATCACCCTGATATTAATATGTTCCATCGCAACAAATTCAATTGTAGAATATGCAGAATAATGTCATAAGAATTTAAATCTCAAATTTTAATTTTAAAATATGATATCATATAATTGGAAAAGATCAACTAGACCCTTTAAATCTCAAATTTCATGTCATAAGAACTAAAGTCTCCTTAGTCCACATCAAAACCGATGATGAACTTCAAAGTAGTCACTCCAATAACTAGACTATAGATTCTTGATCATAAGTAATAGCAATAGGTAAACAATAACTTAGAATGTTACCATATATATGTAAGAATGAAAATGTAAAAAAGAAGTTAAACTGCAGACTACCTGAATAAACCATGCATATAATTTGCACGTCTTGTCTCTACAAATTGTTTGACCCTTGGAATACCACCATCTTCCTTCTCAAGCTTTACTCCTGTGGATAAGTTATGGCTATATCCCCTATAGGTCCCTCAACTTTCAAATCAGGAAGAGAGATGAATTCATGTATTAAAACTTAGATAGCTAATATCATATTAAGTAGCCTGTTAGTTGTTTTATACAAAATTTATCACACCAAATATGGTTTTCAATTATTATTTTAGGATCTCTTTTTAATAAATTATGAATTATATGTATTATTTATACATTATAAAATAAGAAATAATTAATATAATATAATAACATATTTAGTGAAATTTTATAAAAGTAGTTATAAAGAAGATAAAATGAAATAACTAATACATAAGTAACTAATAATAATATAACCAAAGACCAAACAACAAAAGGGACGGGAAGGGGAAAGAAGAGGGGACAGTCCTCCCAGTTCAAGAATATTGATACAAAGGTTTGGTCACTAAGTTTTTCCAACTACTGCTGTTTAACTTGATTTAAAAAAGTCCAATCTTGCGAATCCCCAGTTGGTGTACATGTCTAGTCATTATCCTAACTAATTTTATAAGTCAATCAACCAATGGTGTCAAGTTATGTTGAGTAGTTGATGTCAGGATTTGACTTTAGCATCAACTTTTAAAAAATAACTAATGTAAGAAACACAAATATCAACTACGTGAAATGTGAGTAACATTATTACTTTTTCTATATTGGTTAGTTTATATGATCATAAGATAAGCAAATGTTCTTAACACAAATATCAGTTAGAAACTTGAAACATATGACATGTTACCCTGCTATAGACAAGTAAATGCAAGTTTCATAATAGACTTGAAAGAGCTGGATAATATTTGAATCCTAAAGCTTTAAGACAAATTTTCAAGCTTTGATGGTCTCAAATGTCCAACAAAATGATTCCTTCTTTTACAGTGAGGAAGATAATCTAATAGAAAGCAAACATGATTGATGTGCTGAGTGAGTCTTGAACATGATCTGAAACTTGATATCGAGGACTTGTCCGACCAACTAAGTATATCACTTTATTCCTTGAAGTATACTAATGATAAGTTCGTATAAGCTTACCAACAGAAAATTCTAAGACGACAACAACAATGAGAACTACATATAAACGCCATTGTGCAGGACGTACAAGCTTCTCAGAGTCTTCTTCTGCTCAGAAATTAACAAAGAGTTTAAACTTTCTAGGTATAGTAGTTAGAAATCCACAAACATGTCTATATATCTACTATCAAGAACAAATCTCCTAGATGGTGTGATTAATCAAATGCATATGTTGTATGCTCAATTGTTGAATTAATACATAGGTGGGAAGGTAAAACATGATTTGCTTGGCGTCATATATGCTTAATAGTACAGAAAGAGGAAATGTGATATGTTTCTATGACATGATATTGCAAATTCTGACGGAAATTTCACAACAAAACCCTCACTAGAGTTCTTACATAAGCAATAAATGTTGAAAGGAGGAGAATGTAGTCAAAGTTCAATGAGAATATGGATCATAAACATGGAATAAAATGATTTAAGTTAGAGATCTGAGAGAACATCATATATGAGCTCAACCTGGGAGTACATCCAGACTCAAAGGTCAGAAGATGGAGACTAAGAATCTGTAGACACAGAATATCTGGAAGAATCTATTGAATTGCCAAAATTATAACAACATAAACCTAATTATACCACAAAATACATGTTCAAATTTAATATTTTGAGTTTCCCATCCATGACAAATACAACAAAATTAACCTAATTCTATTCCATGCATCTTTACAAACAACAACAAAAAAAGAACTTGCATAGTAAATACAACTTGTAATTTGTAAAAAACTTACAGATTTGTGAAGATTCAGATGAGAAAATCCAAAGAGGTGACGTGAGTTCATTTTTCAAATAGATGAGAAGTCAAAAACATTATCCTAGAACTCCAATCCCATTCCGAATATGGTGAGTGGCTGAAGTTTATAGAGTTGTGAGGTAGTGACGATGAGAGTTGTGGCGGAGAGGTGCGACGTGAGGTGTGGCAGTGAGAGAAGTGTGACGGAGACGGTGAGAGAGTATAAAATGTTTTCACATTTAAAGAGAATGGAAACTGATATTTTCAAAGAGCCTTCGGGCTAGTTTTCAGAAAAGAGCAATAGCTTTCTAAATGAAGCAAGCATGGAAATAAGATTTTCAAAATAGCCTTTGAGCTAAGTTTTTGAGAAGTAATCTCAAATCGCAGAAGTAGTATGTTTTAATAACACAAGAGCCAGTATATTTGGGAATAATATTGAACACCGAATTGGGGACGAGCATGAGTTCAAATAACTCACATCCCTATAAAGCCATGTATCCACCACAGTAGAAAAAGGTCAAACTTTTTAGATGAATCCTTTTCATAGTAGATTAGTCGATCCATTAGGAATTTTAGGTCTTATACCTTTGGCCTGGTATAGGATGTGTTGGCAGTGTGAGGTAGATCATTGTATCATCACTATAGCTCTTAAGTGATGGTTGTCCGTTAGAGAAACCTACATAAGTCAAATGTATGATTGTGTTTTTTTTTTTTTGTGTGTGTATATATATATATATATATATATATATATATATATATATATATATATATATATATATATATATATATATAATTGTATTTTTACATACATCTCAAAGTTAATTGTATCCTTGTATTCATTCAAAGCTTACATAATGTATTCAAACAACTTTTCTTTATATTACACTTGCTTTTAAATTGTTTTATATTGAAATGAGTCAGTATTATTGAGTTATGTCATTCATGAGTTGAGTAGAGCTAAGGTAAGTGTTCCTTCTTACTCTTTTCAAGCTTAAGTTGTTTTAGCATTCCAACTCGCATACTCGCTAGTTATCCTGCATTGTATCATGATGTAGACGCAGGTAACGAGGATCGGCATTCGGCGCATCGTTGATCCAATTATCCACTCCAGAGTCAGTTGGTGAGCCTCCTTGTATTGCAGAAGACTCATTTTATTGTTTTTACAATTTTTTCTTTATTATGATATTGTGGGGTCTGTCCCAATATCCATCTCAGTTTATAAGGCTTCATAGATTGACAGTCAGATGTGGGTAGTTCATTGATCTTTGCATTATCATTTTTATGTTAAAGACTTGGTTTGCCATTTTGGCCAAGTTGAATGTTTAAATCTTTAGAACATTCCAGTTATTTTATTATTCAGTTTAGTTCAGTTTTTGATCATTAAGTCATTGATTGTTGTCTTCCGCTGAGTTAAGTAAGCCAGACCAAGGGTCTTCTCGAGACCAAACAATGGTCTTTGAGTACCAGCCACGCCTAGGGTGTAGGTTCGGGACGTGATAAAGGTGCATCTATCACTAAGTCCAAGTTAATGATTCTAGTATTGAGACACCACCTCTTCAATCGGTTCCATAAACGGACTTCCCAGAGTCTCTCATGAGATATAAATAGACTTTAGGATCGATATTCTTTATAATACCCAACTTATCTTTATTCTGCCATATAGAATAGCTCCAGCTAAGTTAAACGAATTAAATGAGTAGCTGAAAGATTTTCTGTTAAGAGTTTCATCCGATGGATGTATATTGATTGCCGCCAATCAAATAATGTCACCGTAAAGAATAAGTATCCTTTCGAGAATTATGAGCTTTTCGACCAACTTGAGGGTGTCACTTGCTTCTCGAAGATAGACCTCGTATCTGACTATCATCATTTGAAAGTGAGAGAAAGTGACATCCCGGAGACATTTTTCATGACCCATTATGATCCTTATGAGTTCCTTGTTATATCATTTGGTTTGACTAAAACTCCTACTAGTATCTAGATATGTTTGTTATGATATTCATAATAAAAAGTCCCATAATTTAATTCTGTGATTAAGAAAAGAGGAATAACATGTTTTTCCTCTACTTTTTGCACTGCTAAGAAATTTCTTTTAACAGATTTCTAACCAATGGATTCATTTCGAATTAAATATAGGAAAAATTACATAAACAAAGAACTTTTATTTAATAATTACCAATTTTAAGTATACTTTTATTTTATTATCATTTTTATCAACTTTTAGCTATATTAATTTAAAACAATTTTAAAACACATTTATTCCTTTTTTATACCATTTTTGAACTAACTAGAAAATTTATTCGTGCTCCTCTCTCTCTATTTTCTTTCTCATCGTCACTACCAAAAATTAGGATTCTTCTTCCCCATTTTTCTGCACAAATTCTAATGGAAGAAGGTAAACAAAAATATCCTAGAAGAAGTTCGCGGCTAGTTAAGGATGTTGATATTTCGAATCCAAAAGTTTATAGAAGAAGTCGAAAGAAGCGTCAAGTATCGTCTCCTACTTCTATGGATGAGGGTAATGGCGGTCCAAGTTTTAGTTTGGGAATCTCACAAATATCAGGTCATCGAAACAAGGAGGAGAAGAACAATGACATGCAGAACAATGACGCGCAGAACAAAGGTAAAAAACGAGTTGAGGAGGTTAAATCAGTGAAGAAATTGAAAAAATGTGTGTTGATTTGGCATCTTTATCGAAGAAACTCGTGGACAGTGATGACGATTTTGAGGATTTACCTCCTCAATTTCAGTCTAAAAAATTGAAAAATAAAGATGGACAGGAAGAAAAAAGTGAAGGATGGAAAAACTCAAAATCGATTATCTAAAAGTGTTATTCTACCAGAGAGTAGATATCTGGTATGTTCTAGTAGTATTTGAATCTATGTTTATATATTTTTCTTAGTTATTTATTGTTTAGAAATGATCTTATGTTGATTACGGCTTTGTTTTTGAGATGTAATATGTGGAGTTCATCTTTAGTTCAACTTTAGTATGGCAGGAAGTGAATAGAGCAGGTAGTATTCTCAGTGCTGACCTTAACTAGATTGGGATTTAAGTGTCCTAATTGAGATATGTACAGAAGAAACAGCAAAACCCCTAGGGAATGTGCATCGGAGTACTTGGTTTTGCTCTTCTAAATGTAAGAACGCTCTCAGGGGATGTGCATTGTTACCGCTTACTTTTGTTCTCCCATAATCTCATAGGTTGTATAAGGTTGTAGCCTGTGATATCTATCTATCTATTTGTCTTATGAAGAAATCAACATCTGTGTTCTTCCATAGTAAAAGATATCAATAGGTCTACTGTATTTGTAATTTCATAGGTGGAATGAAACATCAATTCAAAATATCATTTTTTGATAGATATTCAAGATAACAATCCTATGTAGCCTTCATATGATTATATAAAAGCTTATTTTATTTTAACCTCATCTTATTTTTCATTGTTTTGTGGTGGGAGAGTGAGTTTTCTTTGTCTTTCATGGGAGAACAAATTGTGCTTCAATAGTATACAGGTGTATACAAATAATGCAAGCTACATGAGAACATATTTATCCACAAACAACATCCAAGCCTTGACATATTGGAGTATCATGTGTGCTCCAAAGTGAACAGAAATTAAAATGATTCCCCATATATTTACATGAGAACTTTTAACTCCCTCACACACTTTCTATTTTTCTCCTTCCAAACTGTCCACATGAGCACAAAGAAGGTCACCTCACATGATTTTCTCAACCTGTTCTTCATCCTGAATTTCTCTCCAAGTACTAGACTAATGATTCGTGGCATTACCCACTTACGTATCTCATCCTGTGTTTCACAATCTAATTTTGAACTAGCAATGTAATTTGTAATGATAGGTGGCCCCCCCTTCTCTAGATAAAGAACTAGCTATGTAATGTGTACTATGCCTTTTAAAAAAAAAGAGATAAATAGGTGCTCGAGAGCACAGGTACGGTCATGTAGGTGCTGAGGTTTACCCATATACTGATAATAAAAAAGGAGCAATTTTCCTTTTTTCTCACACTAAATACTTTGAAGTACATGTGTACTCTTTCTTAATCATATCATGATTTCATATAAGTTTGTTTTGAAGTGTATAGATTTTTTTTGGAAACCTTTTTGTGAAGCATAATATGCATGACCCTTATGTTTGTTAGTTTCTGTTTGATGTAATGTGTGATTTGTACAATGTTAATACTGCAAGTTAGTCTTGATTTCCTGTGATAGTTGGACAGTATTACTGTACTGTACAATTTTGTGATAATTCCAATTACATTAATACTACATGATAAGCCTTTAACTAGATCATTGTTTAGGCTGCTTGTGTCGAAGTTGATAAGTTGTGTCTGGATTTGGATCCCAAAGTAATCATTTTTGTAATTCAACTTTAATTCATCTTTTATTCAACTGATTACTACCTTGCTTTTGACACATAGTATGTGAAATTCATCTTTAGTATGTAGTAACATATTTTTAATTCATGTTTAATGCATATGTAGGATCATAAATTCTGGAAATATCCTGATGTTGTGTATATTCCGAGTAGGTGGTCATGTTACACTAATCATAGTGTCATTGAAGAAATCAAACTATCTTTATCTGATAAGCAACTTGAATTGTTTAGGAATACATATTTTGGGTACTTTCTTGACCTTCCAAAATCGAGCACACAACTACAACTTATTCACTCTCTTGTAAATAGAGAGTTAAAACACACACTGGATGATGTGTTTGCTATTGAAATAAATAACAAAATGTTATTTTTTGGTCTTAGAGAGTTACGGGCTCAAATTGTGTCAGTGATGACACTTCTATCAATGTTGTTGATTCTAGATGTAGTTTGATGAGTAGTTATTTCCCGAAAAAACACATTTCCAAAGAGTCATCTACGTGCATTTTTTTTAGCTAAAAATTCATAGATGATGACTCGGTTGTTTCATTGGTTGTTTTGTACTTCATCAATGATTTTTTATTTTCCTATGAGGATAACGAATACCAAATTAGCAATAGAGATTTTTACCTTGTGGAAAGTGGAAAATTCAATTCATATCTATGGAGTTTAGATGTCTACAAAAAGTTGTCTGATTATGTGAGACATGAGCTTATGTCAACGCATAAATGCTATCGAATTGGTGTCTTGCCTCTTGCTCTTCAAAGTTGGATATTTGAGTGTTGTTCAAAGGTTGATGAAGATATAGCTATTCGTGTTGCTGATTCTATTCCAAGAATCTTGAATTGGAAGACAATTGCAGAAAGTCCATTGTTAAAATATATTGAGAAATGTCTCTTCAT